TGGATTGTGTGCTGTTGAATTGAGAGTGGGAGAGAGAGTCCACATTCCTCTTGGTGAAATGGGGGCTCCACCTATAAGACATGGTGTGTATATTGCAGATGTTGCACTGTAACTACTGCTTGTGTTATTTGGAGGAATGGTAATGATCTGGCATCTCCCGTTAAAACATATTCAGCATATAAGGTTAGAAAAATGCTTAGCAGAGCCACAGTGCCAATCATATTACACCAGTAAAGCAGATCCTGGGGCCTTCCAGAAGTTGTTGGGCTCCCCTCAGCCACACCCACCCAGCATGGCTAGTGGTCAGGGATGATGGGAGTTGTAGTCCAGCAGCAACTGGAGGGGCCACAGCTTCCCCATCCCAGCGACAGACAACATGGCACTGTGATTGGAACAAGGCAGTTTTGCACACCCTCCAACATTCCTCAGAAAAGAGGGACATTCTACTGATGTAGAACAGAATGTCCCATTGTTATTATTTTTTTGAAGGAGCATGGAGTGTGTGTATGTCTGGGATACACCAGGCAGATGTTGTTTAGTACAGAGAGGGGATCTCTCTTTGCGTAGTGATACCTTCTGCTGAGTGGAGGAAAGGAGCTGGAGGGAAAGGAGAACTCTGGGATTGTTTTGCTCTGCAGAAGCAGCAGCAAGAAGCCCCTGTGGCTAAGTAATTGCTAAGTGAAATTACATAATAAGTTTTCTTTTCTGCTGCTCTGCCTTTTGGCAGCTCTTAGGAACATCCCATTAACTCCGGTTTTACCTCCTCCTGCATTCAAGAAGGTAAATTCATGACTTTCCCTTCAGGGACATAAACACTATGAAAGAGAGAGGAGGAGATAGGAAAGCCAGTGTCATTGGTAGGCTGACAAATAGCCTCTTTAGATGTTTGTGGATTTGTCCTTCCTTCCATTTCAGCTGCACACAGTTTCTGCTCTGCTCATGCTCATTACAAGGTTCTCCCTTTTTCCTCTTCTAGTTTTAAACTGACATTCAATTTCCACCACTGAAGCTGCACCATTGGTCAACATTATGCTGCTGGCACCTTCTCAGTCCATAGCTAGAACATCTGTTTACAGAGCAGTACAATCCCGGTAGAGCTATCGATCAGCTAACTGATCTTTCTTTTAACCACTTTATAATAAGATATTTCATTAATTGTAAACACAACTCTGTAGATTGCACAATTCTATGAGCACAAGAGTAGAAAATAAGGGCAAATTGGTGATATACTTTAAAAACGATAGTAATGGGCTTTCCAACTCATCTTCCCAAGAATTTCAGCTTTTGCTTTAAAGAAGAAGAAAGAAGCGAGTTTCTAGTCTTTAGGATTGTGAAGACAGGCTTGCGAGTTGTGTGCGGCAATTCTGAAAGCCAAAATTTGCATTCAACATGATTTTCTAGGAATCAGTGCCTATGTTGTGCAGAATAAATTATGTTAAATACAAAAATCCATGCAAATATGAATAATTTTATGGATTTGTTCATGGTGGAGGAACACCAAGATTTGGTCTGTTGTCCCATTGCTGGAGGCAAGACAGCCAGCATCTGAGTAGCCAGTTAGGCATAGGTTGAGAGAATCTGTTCATTAGCTCTTGTGTGGAAGCTCTCCATGTGGAAGCCCCAAACAGCTTCATTGATACATGCCTATAAGCCTTCTTGTACTATGTAAACCACTTTGAGGATTTTTTGCTTTCAAGTGGTGTGTGTGTGTGTGTGTGTGTGTGTGTGTGTCTGTCTGTCTGTCTCTCTCATCTCTCTCTCTTTATCATATCTATCATCTATATCTATCTATCTATATCTATCTATCTATCTATCTATCTATCTATCTATCTATCATCTCTATCTATCATCTATCTATCTATCTATCTATATCTATCTATCTATCTATCTATCTATCTATCTATCATCTCTATCTATCTATCTATCTATCTATCATCTATCTATCTATCTATCTATCATCTGTCTATCTATCTGTCTATCTATCTATCTATCTAATCATCTATCTCTCCCGATGCCATTGTTGATTGTTTTAGCCCAGATGACCTTCTAGCTGCAAATGCATCATATTATAAAGCCTTGTTGTTCGTTCCCGTGTAGTTATTGCAAGCCCCAAAGCAATTGAAGGCCATCTGGTTTTGAGCTGGCGAGACGGAGAGGTGCATAATTCCCTTCTAAAGTATAGAGTGTCATGTTGCAAACCTTGGGCATCCCACAGGGGTTGACAGGAGGGAGATGGAAAGCCTTTAAGATTACATGTCGGACTTGGATATTACATTCCTCTGGGTTACCAATGGAATGTAGTTATAGAGGGAAGCTCCCATGTGGACTTGCTGTGTCAACGTCTTATGCGCTGGTGGTAGGGAGGCTTTTACAGTAAGAATTGGAAGTGTGGTTAACTCAAGGAGCTATAGCTTGCAAATAGTGTGAAATCCTTCTCCTTTTGCTTCTTGTCTCATGCTGAAACCTGTCTACATTAAACCATGATGGAGATCTTTTTCAAAGGACTCCCGTTTTTTAAGGGTTGTGCTGAGGTGCAGGTGTTGGAAAAAGTTCAAAATGCATTCCTTTCCTCGCACACATACTCAAAGGTATTTTCTCCCTTCTTTCCCCACTCCCATTCCACTTCCCCGTGATCAGTTAGGGCTTTGTTCCAAGGGAAATGGGGGAAGGAAAACCTCAGTGCAACTTCTTCTCTTTCCTTCCAACCTTCAAGAATGAAAATTGAAATGAATTTTGGGGCCGGGGTGTGTGTGTGTGTGTGTGTGTGTCTGGTGGAATAATGTGAAATGGTTGCTTACACATCACACCTTTAAAGTGCCTTTGAAGCACGTCCTTTCACGCAAAGAATTCTGGGTGCTGTAGTTTTCCCATCGCAGAATTACAATTCCCATCAGCCCTTAACAAGCGATAGCACCAAGAATTATTTGAGGGAGTAAATGTGCCTTGAATGTGCTTTAAAGATATAGTATGTACACATTGTCTGCTGAATACAGAGGAGAAACCAATGAATAAAAAAAGATCCCATGCTTATTTTCTGCTTTCAAGAAACTTCAATGACCCCTGACTGGTTTCACTGAAAGAAAACCCAAGTGTTCAAACCCAATTTTCAAGCGGAGCGTATAATCTAACATGGCTTTTCTCCCTTTCCATACACTTGCAGATACTCTTCAATCTGTTCTAGCATACTGGGGAGTCTACAACAGTTTCTATCTCTGGCTCTTGCTCAGCAGTCACAGCGCCAGATGCTGTGGATCAAGCAGAGACAAGATGCTTGGCTTCTGGTACTTATACCAGGCCTGGCAAATCTAGAGACTTCATATAGCTCGCCAATCAGAGACTGATGTTGTACATCCCTTCTGTGCCTGAAGAGAGTTCTGGAGACTGAGTGCATATTGTACCCAGTAACTCACTGGTTCCTCAGCCAAACAATCAGTTTTAAGAGAGTTGAAGCTGGTGTGGTAGAGGCACACTTGTTTCTGCTCTGCTACCGTCTCTAGTCAAATATATTTCATTGTGATTTTTGTCAGCAGCAATGCAAAGAAACATGTATCCGCCAGATGCTATACAGTATGTTGTTACTTATTTCATTTATATCCTTCCTTTGTCCAACTTGACACTCTTCAAAGACGATCATTTTCATTGGGGAAAAAAATAATAAAACAGTGGGGTGTATCTATGAGAAGCATAATTCCTCTTATCATTACATTCTCAACACTTTGGGGGAAAGCTGTAGTCTGTCTCCAGCTGAGATTTCTCAGCTTGAGAGCGGTCCAAGTCTGTTGACAAAGGGTGAAGCTTGCCTTCCATCAGGAAGGAGACACTGAAGCCCTCTGGGAAACTAAATGGTCTCCATGGAATATCCAGGGCTATAGGCTTTTAAAAACTTTGACAGTCTCTTTATCCTCATCCTCTTTGGAAAGGTCCTTCCAAACACCTGTTCATGTGGTTGGTGTGTGTGAGAGAGAGATTGGGGAGGGAGGGGGCTATTGATCCTGCTCCAAATTCCAGCTGAAATGTAATAGTTTGCTCACCTGCCTCTTTTTATTGTTCATTGACAGCCGAAGCTGGGCCAGAGAGATGGTACGGCCACAAACGCCAATGCCCCCCCTGTGGAGTCCTTCCCCTGGGTGGGGCCGAAGACAGTGGTGCTGCACAAGAATTTGCAGGGGGGTTACGGCTTCACCCTCCGGCACTTCATCGTCTACCCCCCAGAATCGGCAGTTCATTCCAACGTGAAGGTAATGTCCATTCTGAGTTTGAAGACTGGGCAGGGTTCATTCCAGAGGTGTGTCTTATAATGATCCTGGGCATAGTCTGGAGGCACAATGTCCAGTAACCTTGCTGAAGCTAAGCTAGTCCAGGTGTGGTCACTAGCTGGATGGGAGACTGCAGGGAACGTCCATGTATGGTGCTGCCTGTGTGCATATGTATTCCTTAGTGATCACTCTTAGCCAAGTAAGATTATCTTCCATGAATGTGGTTTTAACAGTGTGTCCATGAGTGATTGTAGAGGCCAATTCTGGATCCACACATCCTTCCACAGTGGGGACAAAGGTTTCTGGGTGGGAATTGATCATGGTGAGGTTTGCCAAACATGCCTTCCTCTTAGCTTGTTTCTCTTTTTCGTCCTGAGTTTGTGCATCTTCAAAGTCCACGAAGTCTTTCATAGAGGCTGTTCTCCAATTGGAGTGCTTGCAGGCCAGTGTTTCCCAGTTGTTGGTGTTTATACAACTTTTTTTTTAAGATTTCCTTGAGAGCATCTTTTGTTGTCCAACGTTTTCCGAAACATCTGGGCAGCCCCAGGTAGGGCAAGGCTGTGCTAGGTGAAGCATAAGCTTGTCTGACATTTCATTAAGAACATGGACCTTACACCGAGTCAAGACCATTGCTCCACCTAGCCTAATCTTGTCTACATTGACTGGCAGCAGTTCCCCAAGGTTTCATAGAATCATAAAATTGTAGAGTTGGAAGGGACCACAACGTTCATCCAACCAAAAAAATGTTTTGCCCGATGTGGGGCTCAAACCCACGACCCTGAGATTTAAGAGTCTCATGCTCTAATGGCTGAGCTATCCCTTCACCACAAAAAAGTGTTTCCCAGCTCTAAGTGGAGATGCTGAGGATTGAACCTGAGAACTTTTGCATGCAAAAGCGCATGTTGAGCCACTGACCACTAGCCCTTCCCAGCACTACTGGGTCTGTTTTAATTTCTGATTTGCTGACTGGATGTGGCGGTTTCATCCTTTGTTTTTAGACTTTGATCCTCTTTGACCCGCACAACTTTGCTGAGCTCTTCTTTGATTTATACTTTTCCTCCGTGGCTGCACATTCCACAAGTTTGCTACAAACTGCCCAAAGCAAATTCAGCCGCTAACAAATTTAACAGCTTTTAAAATTATTACCTGTCAGCCTCCAGGGGATCTTTCTTTCCTGATCCTTCTTTTTTCAGAAAATAACTTTTGTTGAGTTCTCTGTTTTCCTTTAAAAGCTATTCCATCTCATACCTAATCTCTTGCGGGTGATCTCTTAAGAGTCTGATGTGCATAAGTAAAGCTCGCTTCTACTCTCCCTGAGTGTCCAGAAGCTTTCCTTTCCTCAAACACAGAAACTGTTGGGTTTGGAATCCTACAGAATTTGCTGCCTGAGATGGGATTCCTCATTGACCCAAATCCCCCGGTTGCCCTGCCCTAAGCAATAGATAATGCAACTAGCTGTGTGGCCTTTCCCTTTTGAATCTGAAGAGCCTGCCGCCCAGCTTTAAGGAGGCGCCATTATTTAAGGGGCCAGTAGCATCCCAACATGGGGTAAATACTTGATACCCATTACAATATCAAGGAGGCTGCTGGGCTGACCTCCATCTTTGGAAGTTGGAACTGACATCCCTTCCTCCACATGTGCATTCCCAACACGCACCCCGAGTGCAGTTCCAAATTCCTGGGAGCTATTTGCTGACGTCCCATTCCATTCTGATGAAATGTCTGGCATGGAAGCACTGTCGCTGCAAGAGAGAGCCAGCTTTCCGGCCCTCGCAGACCAGAGACCTCACCCTCCCTTTTTTTCTTTTGTCATTTCAGAAAGGGAAAATGGGTTCTTTGCCAGATAAGTTCAAAGGCGCAGAAGGGTTGGCGGGAGGAGATGGGGTGGGGGTATGCATTAAACTGCTCCCGGTCTGTCCCCGCTGGTTGGGTGTGTTTTTTTGCAGTGTCAGCTTCATCTGTATAAAGGGTGACTGTTGTGTTTCATGGTTCGGACAAAAGGCTGCCCCCACTCCCTCTCCCTGCCAAAGTTGGCTCTGTTCACTTCCCTCTGCTGGTCCCTCTCTCTCTACCCCACAACCAAGATCATGCATTAGGGATCGTTCTTGCTACGACATGTATCCTGAAACTTTTAAGATACTCAGTAAGTGGCCTTTTGGTCCTGGTCCGGGTCTGTAGTAAAGTACTGCTCAGGATCAGAGCCACAAAGGGAGATAGTGTCTGGGAGGTGGAGACAGATAGGCTTACCGTCCAAGCTGCAGGTAATGGCCTAGTCTGAACAGGGACTCCGTGAGGTCAGAACAACAAAGCAGCTGGCCGCAAGGGAAGAAGGTGTTGAAGGCATCTCGGATGGATCTGGTGTCAAGGCAGGAGGGTTAGCAAGGCTAGGCGGGTGTTGGAGCTGAAGTAAGGTGGTATAGGGAGGGTAGAGCAAAGCAAGCTATCTTTAACCATGTTGGACCATTGCTTCATCTAGCTCAGTATTGTCTGTACTGACAGGCAGCAGCTCTCTAGGGTTCCAGGCAAGTGTCTATCCCAGCTCTATCTGGAGATGCCAGGGACTGAACTTGGGACCTTTTAGTCATAGAATTGTATAGTTGGAAGGGACCCAGAAGGCCTCTATTTCAACCCCATGAAGTGCAGTAATTGCAGCTGAAACTTGGGTGCCTTGTTAGAATGGTGGTACGAAAAAGGAATTAAATAAATGTGCTTGATCACTGAGCTGTGGCAGCTCCAGGAGCAGTATGGGATGGAGCTGGTAGAATGGCGAGCAGGCTGCTGTCAAAAGAGAAGGCAGAGTCCCTAGTGACATCTTTTTGGTTTGCTGTCGCTCCTTGAGCGAATGATAGAAGCCACAGAGTGCATATGTGAATTGGGAGCACAACTTCTGGTTGGCCTTGGTAGTCAGACAAAATTTGTGGTCAATACCAGCCTCACCACTTTCCCGGTTTTGGAGAAGGGGTGGGGTCTTCTGTTTGACTTCATGACAAGCTCTGGAGATGCTGAGACACAGCAGTGCATTTCCAATGCAGAACGTGGCTGGAGGCTTGATTGACCCTGGACTTGCCCTGGACTTTTGAAGGCTCTTCCGTTTCCAAGTTCTTCCAAAAGCTTATGTGATGTGCTTGCCAGACTGAAATATTGGTCTGCCACTGGTAATCTGGCAAGTATATTTGTGGGCTCCTGATTTATGAGAAAATTTCCAGCTTTTGTTTTCATGTCAAAAATAGTTCAAGGAATTCAAAATATTTCTTCAGAAGCATTGTGTGCAGATACTCACTTTATAAAAAAGTCATGTCTCGTTTCATCATTTTCCCTGGCAGCCGCTTCTCTGGCACATTTGTTTTTCTCTTGAGGGCTGTTTCTCTTTTTACTTCCTAGCTGCATCATGCAAGTTATCCCAACCAATCAGGGATCCTGCAGTGAAATGTGTGACATCCCCGTGTTACACAGCCAATCATACTTGCACAAGTGAAGTCATTTGGGAACTGAAGTCAAGAATGGGCAATGTAAACGAATTGGTGGAATTTTTGCAGAGTGTTGAAAAGTTATCCAGAAAAGGAGACGGTTGAGGGTGGGTTTTTTCAACTGCCGAAATATTTGTGAGAAGCTGCAAATAGTTTCAGCGTAGTGCTGATCTTTTCTTCTTCACAAACCGAATGCTAACCCTTTACCATATTTTTCGCTCTATAAGACACACCAGACCACAAAACGCACCTAGTTTTTGGAGGAGGAAAACAAGAAAAAAAAAATTCTGAATCTCAGAAGTGAAAACAGCAATCCCTCTTGCTGTTCTGGCTTCTGGGATAGCTGCGCAGCCTTCATTCCATAAGAAGCACACACATTTCCCCTTACTTTTTAGGAGGGAAAAAGTGAGTCTTATAGAGCAAAAAATACGGCAAATCTTTTGTTAGTGTTTTATAGAGTGCCATCAGTATATATGGTGCTTAGCAGAATAGTAGGCAAAGAAACATATTCCATGGAGATTGTAATGCCATATAACTCCAGAATGAGAAGACATTCCTTGAGGGAGGGAAGCCAAAGGTAACGCTAGATGAATGTAAGCAAATGCAGTTTACGTGTACTTTGGCTTTGTTCATTGCGTTAAAAATTCATATTTGGCACCACCATTCCACTCTTCTCCATGTGGTGGCGTAAGCAAAGCAAAGAAGCAAAACCCCTCAGGGGAATTTCAGCAGCCTACTTGGGACATCCCCATCTCCAGGGCAAGGAGAAGAAGCTTTGGCAGGGTGGGGCGCCAGGTCCGGGGGCTGGGTTTCGGTGGAGGTGACTCACTGGGGAGGGAGCAGGGAACCATGTGTTCCATGTCAGGCATTCTTTGGCAACCGTTGGCAGATGACTTCATTGCCTCCTTGTGCCCCAAGGGGAGTTAGGCACTGCAGGTAACCTCCCGCGTGCAGAGGCAGGATGCAAATTAACCTATACAAATTTTGGGAAACTGGAATATGGCACTCTCAGAAGGCACTACTTTGAGCCATAATGGGAGTCGTTGCCAGAGTGCAAACGAATGGGCTGAAGGTATGGAAGGAGGCCGAACAGGAAGCAGATTAGAGCTGGGTCAAACACCAGGAAGACAGATCAGCTGCAGTTCCTGGTGATTCAGAGCTGGGGCTGGGTGGAGACCAAGTGTCAGCTGGTTTGGGTATCCGGGGGATCTGGGACAAAGTCTTGAGGCAGGGCGGGAGGGAGGGAAGTTCAAGCACAAGGCCAGGTGGGTTATTGCTCAAATGGAGGCCTGACCCTGACCTGGAAGTTTTTAGCATCAGAAAGGTCATTTGTGTCCGGTCAGGGGAGTTTGGGGTGAGGTCAGCCAGATAAGGCAGAACGAAGCCCTCTGCTGGCAAAAGCCAGCTCTGGAAGTACCTAGCTGCTTGAGCAAAGTGTGATAGTTCAAAACATATTCCATTCCAACTTGTGGATTGAAAGACGGCAAAAGGTGGAAGTCTCTGCTCTGATATTTGGGGGCTCTGATTTATTTGGTTTTATCAGAGAAGTCACTTTGACTTGCATATTTCAAACACAGCAGCTCATGATTTTAAAGAGTCCCCCCCCTCTCTTTTTTAAAGGATATATTCTGGATAGACCAGTGGAGGCTGGTGCCCATTAGGAATGGTAGGGTGGAAGATAGGAAGAGCAACAGTAGGTGCCCTCTCCTGGCAGAAGAGCCACAGACAGAACATACCTGGAACTCAGTTTCCCAGGCTCTTCAACAGCAGCCACTGCTCTGCACAAGGTTCCAGCCTTAAAGATGCAACCACTATCACTAGCCCTGTCTGCCGCTGCCCTTGTTTGACAAGGGCAAGCCTTGAAGAAGGGAGGGAGAATTGATGGGTAGGGCTGATGGGGGGGGGGTCCTTAATATTATGCCCTTGGCAGAATTCTCAAAGGGGAAAACCCTCCAAACATTTCTTAAAAGTTTTCTGAGAGCTTGTAAAAACTGGGCTCATTTCCTTAAGATCTGGATAGCACACAGAATGTAATTCTGATGTCCTTATAACCACCTGTGCCATCTCAAGGAATCCTCGCAAATCATGTGCCCTAAATAGAAAGGAAGTTTGCAGAACAAACAGCCCCCAGTGATTCTTGCGAGCGAGTCAAACTGCAGTCTGAAGGGGAAAGATAATATGCTGCTTGGAACCTCCACCGAGCACCATCGGGGTGGGGATGGAAGTGGTTCTCTGCATGTTCCTACTGAGCCTAGAAGAGTTGTCCAACCCCCCACCCCATGCTGCAAGCTAGCCTCTGTCTCACTGGGAACAGTCAGTAGCTTCATACGTAGCTATATTTAGTGCCTTAA